ACGTGAGATCAGCGTCCGGGGATTCCGGAAGAGATTCGCGAAGCCACTGGAATGAAGGCTCGTTGGAGTGTTAGGGTTGAACGAGAACGACAGAGAACGAAGGATGAAGAAGGAACAGTGTCTTTAAAGGGGTCAAGAGAGAAAAGGGCTAGACGAAGTTTCGAAACGATGCCGAAGAACCCAACAGTCGGCATCTTCTGTAGAGCAAGTTTCTCGACGAGACCGAATCTTACGTGTCCTCCCCCTCTTTCTCCTTCCTCTGCGATTCCATTGGAAAAGAGGGTGGAGGATCTAAAGAGACTTCCACTGTTGCTTGTCGCCCAAGTTCTGCGTGCAAGCCGGATTTTTGCAGAAGAGGTAAACTGAAGAGGGAAGATTCCGGTGTAATATGCTGGGTCGTTGGGACGTTCTCCAAAGGGGTGACTTCATCATTTCCTTCCTAGGTGATCTAATTTCGATTCACTCGAGTTCGTCACGAAAGTTTAAGTTCCGACCCAATTGGACCTCTTGCTTTCTATGGAATGTTGCATTATGCGGAGGTAATTTCACACACGAGTATATCGTTTCTTTACATTTATGAAAAATGGATTAATTAGTTATTTTCAACGTGGCAATTATAAATAGGCTAACATGTAATTCAAAAAATTCATAAATAGGGATGGAATCAAGCTTAATATGATAAATGACGATATTTTCCCATCTAAATTAATTAAGGATCTAAGAATTTGAAAATTTTCGATGATTTTTACTAAACTATGTTTGAGTTTGCATAACATTTGTAAATTAAAACTCCTTTTATTTGCATTTTTTTTTAGAAATGTATATATTGTGTATTAATAATAATAACAAGAAATTAAATCTTTTTAAAAGTATTCTAAGCTTGAATAAATATCAGAAAAGTAAATAAATAAAGAATAATGTGCTCATACTTCAAATATGACAATTTAAACAATTACATTTGGCCGAAGGTTAAAAATTAATTTGTTCAATTAATTTTGCAACATATACATTTAATATTGAAGGATTTTTAGTTTCAGAAATAACTGACTGATAATGATTAATTCATCCAAGCATGTAAACTATGAATACAACATTTTATTATACATATAATCTTTACAATATGTCTAAAATTTGAAATGCAAAAGTAATTTCTGTTTTTCAAAAATATACAATCACAATAACGTTGTAACAAGCTATGGTTGACCCACATACGTACTTTCCCTTCGTATCACGTGAGATATCTCGGTTTACCACTGCATAGTTGATTGCCTATCCCAAATAACTCTGGTTTACCGCTGCATAGCTGAATGTCTATCCCGAAACAACATGATTGTGCGCTAGTCGATGGATTAAAGCTGCACGAACACGGCACTTTGCATTTTCGATACTTAAAAAAAAATAGTAACAATAACTCTACAACAAGCAACGAATATATGTATCAAATTCAATTCAAATCTAAACCATAAAAGTTGAAAAAAAAAACTGTAGAAATTTGAATTTACAGGAAACAATAAATTATTATGATTGAAGTTCAATTAGTAGAAAATTCTAAAAAATAATCAACTGTTTTGAACTCAAGTTTGATTAACACCTTTGAAAATCTAAGAATCATTTAGGGTATGATAGGTGTTATTAAGGGTAACTATACTTGATATTGCAATAAAAATAATTATTAATATTCATAATGAAAATAATAATTACAATTTAACCCCTTCAATCATCCCCAAAATCACCCTCTTAAAATGACCAATTAAAATATCAAATTTCTTATTTGAAGTTAAAGAAATTATTAATGTGCACCTGTCAGAGTACATATTAATCTTCATTAAGGAATTATTTCTCATATTAATTTATTTTCCATCTTTTATTTATTTATTTTCAACTCTGGTTATTTTAATATTAAATTCAATTTATGAATCTACCCATTTAGCTTACTTAAGAAATGAATAAAACGAGGTTTTAATTAAAAAGAAACAGTTAAATTGATTCATGGAATCGTTTTCCTTAAATAGTCCTTTGAAAACGCCCTTTTCTTCACAGTACCGTAGGTATTATTCACACCTCTTTAAAATTCAATTTAGATGAGTAATGTGAATCGTCACAGAAACAGAACGAAATTTTACTATTTCTATTCATAGAATACTTGGTTGTAAATATTCTACGATAAAGTGTATTTCATTATCTTTCCTAAGGGAAAGATTCACACCGTTCCTTGTTACCATGGTACCAGATTGATTCGCACTTCTCGTCCAGGTTTGAAAGGGTTACGTAACATCGTGCTAAAGAGAATTCTCGTGTAACAAGATGAAAGTGAATTCAATTCAAATTAGCGACACAACGGACAATTGTACGGTTGAACGCGAGAACGACTTTATTAGTTCTCGCAGAAAATTCCTTCATTAATTTAATAACACCGTGAATGAACTTAAATATATATACAGGGAGAGAAATCATTTGATAATCACAAGCATTTATTCATAATTTAAAATTTTTTGACAACTTAAGAAGACATTTTGATTTATCAATTTAAATAATTTTAAGTATTTGAGTTCTTAAAGGTATATTTTAAAAAATTTGTTAAAATTATTAGAACTTGAAGTGATAGGTAAGCATTCAAGCAAGAAAAAAATAAGACTAATTACCATAATCGGTCTATAATCAATACTGTTAAAAAATTATTTCTGTATACAAAGAAAATTTTAACAATAAATTTCCAATCAAAAGTAACACTGCAAAGTTTGGAATTTAAATAAATAATATTCTACTTACAGGGAACTCACTAAGATCACTAAATAATGAAAATTGGACACTATATAGAGCTCGTTAAGCTGAATACACCTATTCGCCATTTTGATTCAATAGATATTAACATTTATAATTAATTATCTGTTACATCGTAAAGAATAACATACTCATGTATACAAACGGTTAAACACATGTCTGTAAATCCAAAGGTTCTCAGTTCAAATCTCATTGTCAGTTCCCTATTTTTTTTGAATTTAAAAAATTTATTTTTGAAATTAATTTATTAATTAAGTTGTACTTATTATAAAACTTAAATTATTTTTAATATCCATTAGATAATATTAATATTTTTTAAACGCTTAGCTGTCTGCTCCCAAAATGGGGTACAGGCGTGTTCAACTGGATGAGTTCTTGTATAATGAGTGTAACACTTGGAACGTCCCCCTCTGTAACTGTGACGTATTCATCAATTATATTATTGCAAGATGAATGGAGAAATTTAAAAGAAAATAGTTTTATCAATCAACAGAAAATTTGCAATTGCAATGAAAACTATCATGTTCCATCTAAAGTTGAATGCATCACCAATTACCATAGTATACCTAATTTGTTTATATGAACTTTTTATGAGAACCATTCCCTCTGTTTCAACCCTCAACTACCATGATTTATAGAAATATGACATAAGAATATATATCCTTTTTATGCTTGAATAATATATACCATTATCTACTTTTCAGTAGAGGAACTATAGATTTAACTTTGAGGGGGTCATATCTGACCCTACGATGATATTTAAGGGTTATAAGAGAACGAACAAGTTAGGGACACTCTGTATATTAAACAATGCACAAACACTTTTGAACGATAATGTATGATGTACGAGGCGACCAGAAAAGAACGTAGGGGACAAAAGTAGAGAGTTGGAGGAGGATAATAGGGATTGAGGTTTCTATCCGTGGCTGGTCAATTAAATCTCGTCGACGTCGCGTGCAGGAAGCGAGCGCAGCGTGCACCGGAGGCTTCCTTTCCGATTTCGAATGGGTGGACCCTAACTCTCCAAATTTATTATCCTATGCGATCGACCGGTTAATCCCCTAACCAGGGAGCTCGAGCGTGCAACTATTACCCCGCAGCGTACGTCAACTGGCCGCAAGCGGCTTCGTCGAGAGACAGGTGTGTCGGCCACCGTGTCGAAGCGGAACAAAAAAAAGAAAAAAGAAAAAAGAAAAAAAAAAAACACAAGCTTTTTGGGGTTTTTGGGAGATTTTATCACTAACTATCAATCCTTTTATTCCTAACTACGTAAACATATATACGGTGTTCGATATCAATTGTTAATTGTAAAGAATTATAATAGTAATAGGCTACAATAAAAACCAAATTTTTAATTAATCATAAATCATAATAGTTAAAATTTTTAAAACATTTTTTTTCCTATAAAAAGTTTGAGTGCTTTTTTCTAAATAGTATCATATAACTGATTGGTTTAATCTGTAATTTTTGATTCCTGCTCATATAACATTAATTCTGATTAATGTTATATAAAAATTCATATTGTTTCTTTATTTTTACAATAAAGAAACTTTCCTGGCCCTCTTCAGATTTCATTTATAATATATTTTAATGGGGAGTTAATTTTTATTATAAAGATGTCCTTATTTAACTTTCGAATGACGGACCATGGAGAGGCCACAGTTCTAATATAATTTTGTTTCATTTTCTAAATTTTACATAGTTCCTTTAAAAATCATTCTTCCAATATATGAAACCCTTTTGTTAAAAAATGATATATTTAACTTTAGATTAATATCTTTATATACGTTTTAGAGATTTGGGTCACGATTGTCCCAGGCTTCGCTGTGCATTGGTTAAAATAGAAATAAATAAAGATAAAATATAATAAAATTGATAAAATTAAATAAATGAAATAAATTTTAAATAAATTAAACCAAATGCTAAATAGATTTTGAAATAAATAAAATAAATTCTAAATAAATAAAGTTAATGAATGTCAAAATTTGAAATTAAAATGATGTAAATTGTAATTACTCTATGTCCCCTCAGTCTCCTTAAAATAAATAATATGTAATGTTATACACATTCATCCCCGATCACGTAAGTGTCATAATAATGAAAATAAAGAAAATTGTTCGCTTACTGTTTGCTCAGACTATTCTTTTCAACACTTATAATTCAATACATAAATCAGAACGACGACACGCGAATGTTGAAAGTTATCCGAAAATTCTTACCTCTCTCGGGCACGGGTTCGCGCAATCCAGCACCAAGCTGCACCTCGCTTATCGCCGAATATATGCCGGGAATCTGTGCGCTGCATCGTAAATTCAGCTGGCCATTCGAGTAATGGAACGGTTGAAGTTTCACTCGGATCTCGATCCACTGTAGATTCTCCAGCTGATCGGCCCGAGGCGCGGGGGCGTCGTTGCGTTCCCACTTCTGTTGCGGGTACTGCTGCGGCTGGTGTTTTGTGTAGGAATCCACCTGCGAGAAATCAAGCGTGAATTGATCGTGAAATTTTCAGTGAAAACGAGAAGAAGAAACGCGAATTCAGTCGCGCGTGGAAACGCGCTTCGTTCGCGAAACGTTTACACGAAGAAAGGAGAGGAGTGGCCGAGGAGAGCCGAGGAAATGTAAATCTGCTTTTAACGAAATCCGTTCATCTGGAATCGGGAAGCGAACCCTTCTTCCACCTCTTTTCTCATCTCCCCCCATACCGCATGCTGGTACCCTCCGTTAAACACAAAGACGACTCCTTCCAGTTCGATGAAAAGTCGAAAGACTTTGCCGTTTCTGGCGCCGTGTTCTCACCCCCCGCCCCTTCCACGATTAACGTTTCCTTTTTTCCTACCCCTCTGCCTTGCGAGAAAGCGTTTCTCCAGCTAACCCGTAGTATTCACAGAAACGGCCGAGTTCCGAGTTTCTTAATGGATCATTATCGTCCTAAGAACTGGTGATGGCATCCAGAGTAAGTTATACGGTTGAGCGGCCTACGGCGGAGCTGAATCGCGAGCGGATCGGTTAAGATTTACTTAAAAGTTTCGAACGAGGAAATATAGACTTTCGTACACTTTGAAAACGCGCAAACGTCAGTTAACTTGCACATCTCCTTTTTTTAATGGCTTGAGTTTGAGATTTATGGAGATGAGGAGTTATTGAGTTACACTGGGATCACTGACTATCGTGTTACTTCTTTTACACTCCTTTCATTTCCATCTTCTGAATGTTAAAACTTAAAAATTTCAAGTATTATTTAAATTTTTTATTATAAAGTTAGAGTGCACGATTCTTTTTAGTTTTATTATCCTTGAATTATTTTGTAGCTATAAAAGTTAAAGAAAATCTTCCACTATAATATTCCACATTAAATCTTCAAACCAATTTAGACCCCCTCAATTAAATCAATTTTTTACTTTCGATATAAAAATAAAAATTTAAATAATATTGATGGGTAACAATTGACCCTGCATCTCTCTTTCAATGAATGAACCTTGTAGGGCGGACCATGGAGAGAGGCACAGTTTTAATGTAAAATCTAATTTTTGTAAAAGTGGAACCTTTTCAGCTGAAGGTCTTTCAAGGTATTAACTCTCGGAGGGCGGATCACGGGGAGAGCTCTAATTTTAATGCAATTTTGTATTTCATATTATCTTCATTTTCTAAATTTTTCTCTGTACCTTTGAAAATGACTCTTCCAATAGATGAAATTCTTTTGTTTAAAGATTATACATTTAATATCTTTGTATATATTTTGTAAATTTGGCTCACTATTGACCCAGGATCCACTGTTCAAGAGTTTGTTTTAGAGTTCTTCTAAATGGATAAAATGTGTTTAAATTTGTAATGGGTGTTTATTCGAGATCAAACATATTTGTTCTTAGAGGGTGATTCTGTGAATCAGTTTCCGAGGCCATTTCAAAGCAATCAGCTTTATGTGAGTTAGAAAGCAATGAGGGAAGTGGTTGATAAGCGGAACTAGGATGGAGGGTATTATGAGAATAGTGCCTGGAAATGGATTCATCAGCAAAGTTATGCAGCCCATCCCTTCTTTGGGTACAAGGACATTCGGTAAGAGGGATATAACCATATATTTGAATAGATCAATGATCCGGGACGGAAATTTGTGGGAAATAGGGATTTTGTGGATCTTATGGAAATGGATGGTTCATACGAGGTGTTAATGTGCCTTGTTCAATCTTGGAAATCTGATGTTTAATCATTTCTGAATAAAATATTCTATTTATGAAAAATCTACTGCCTTTTATTAAAGATTCTTGAAGAATATATTTGTTGAATAGAATATTAGTTAATTCTATTTTTTGTCGAGCTCAAGCTGTATTTAAAACACGTCAATTTTTCAGTGGACCTATATTTTATATTATTTTATTTTAATTGAAGATTTTCAATTATAAAATGTATTTTAAAAAGGACAAAAAATGGTAATAAAGATCTGAATGGTGATTGGCACTGGTTATACTAGAACAAGAAAATGAAATTACAAGTAATAAAGTGATTGTAATAATAGTAATACTATCATACAACAAAAGGCTTACCGAGCAACTAAGATAGAATTATGCATACCAGTTTCATAAGTCAGCTTTTCATAATCTGATTATGTTTGTTGAAAATTGCACGTTTGAATCTGATTTTCTGAAATATGCATTCTAATTGAAGCATATTCTAATATCCGTGATGGCAAACAAATTTGTAAATTACTGAGTAGATTTACTAATCTGAATGAATTACTAAGTAAAACTTAGAATGAATAAAAATAAAACCTTTCAAACCTAAATGAGATAGCATTCGAAACTTAAGTACTAAAATTAATATATCACTTTTTAGAATAAGTACATTCGTAATTAAATCAGGCTTCCGCAGAGAAAATTCCCCTCCGTCTCCGTAGGCGTCCCCGGAGAAAATAACGACGAAGGTCTCATATGTATACATATTCCTGTATATAGGTCCGTGCCCTCCCCCCACTTGCGTATAAACGTTTACGCGGGAAAATTTGAATCGATACTTATCCATTAATCATATTTTTCAGTTATATACTAAATTTTACAATACTTAAACACCAAAAATTGTATTCTTTTATTTTTTAATTATTTTCAAAGGTTATTCTCGTTAAAATGAAAATTTTGAAAATTCCTGCTTTCCCCATACGAGCCGTCCATTTGCTGAATCGATTAACCCTCCTCTCCCAAAAGCAAAAAGAAAAAAAATTAAGCATCCAATCAGTGCTATGGCATTAAAATTTTAACAAATTCAAAAAGTGGAGTTAATCACTTTGCCTCTGAACGATTCATATCGCCACTTTTTCTAGAGAAGCCTGATTGGATCGCATGCGTACGTATTAAATTCAATTCCATTTCTAATTATTGCCAATATCTTGATGAAAAAGAAAAATTTGGCACAAATACCGTTGCGGATACAATGATAAACCTTTTACCAAACAACGTTTAAAAAATCGATACGTGTCATAAATCAATGTTGTGTATGTAACACCGAGTAATGTACGATGTTGTGAGGGTGGCGAATATAAAAACAAATACCCGGATGTTTCTGTCGTGTCCGCGACCGATGAGTAACGGGTTTTTAAATATAACAAACGCTCCCGTCTCCCACGATTTATTATTATTTCGAAGAACGTTCTTCATAAATTCGAGTGAGAGTGGAAATGGGAACGCGGATTGCGTGAAAACACGGAAGCATGCACTGGAAAGCGATAAAACAACATTCTTCTCCTAGGGTTATTCTTATTTACTTTCTTTACTTTCCAAGTGAAATATGTTTGTACAACAAATTCAAAAATTATTTACAATGTAATTTAAGTTTACATTTTACAATGCTTTTTAATACTGCATTAAAATTTATATTAGTAGCGTTTGAAAATTATGTAGTAAAATTTATATGTGAAAATTATACCAGCATTAATCAGATGGAAATGAGAAATATTTTATTTCAAACGCTTAGCATATTCATTTATTAAATTGTAGCAGCTTAATTAGGTTCATTGAATCACCTATTTTTCATAGTACTTTTGCAAAATAATTTTCTGTTTTATTTTTCAAGGAATATAAGCAATTTCATTTTTAATATTTAGAATAAATCTTACTGTAATGAAAATGTAGTATACTTATGTGCTTTTGATCATTTTTAAAAAAGTGACCTATTTGGTATACTTCCCCTTCACCTTTTCATTAAAAACAGTAGCCATAGTCATTCGACGTTCATATTTTTAAATAAGAAATATTCAATAAATATTTGAAGAAGATAATTAAAAACCTGATGCAATGGAAGATAACTTGTTATCTTAACTTATTAAGTTTATGAAAAAAGTTACTTATATCGAATTAGATAATTTAAGTAACGTATTTCAGACTCTGTGACATACATTCTGTAATATTTACAAGTATCGCAATCCAAGTACAATTACTTTATAAATCACGATACAATTACATCGAAGCGTACGAGTACCCACAAGTGTAACGAAGCCTAAAGTAATTACAGGGCAAAGTTTTGTCAGGGACATCGTTCAATAGCAAGGAATCAGGTTTGCTGTCGTGAAATTACATCTGCGGGAGTTTTGATCATAGACAATCGAAAGAAGCCATTTTCTCGAAACCCTTGAAAAGAACGCTCGAAGAGAAATGTCATCCTCGACTTTGTCAATACGATTCGTGTCGAATTCCATTGTATTGGAAACTTAGCTGGAACTTTCTTTAGGTTTCCATCGCGATACGTTGAGAATTTGATCGATAAGACATTCGCTGAAAGAAGCCTGAAGTAGGAAAATTTATTTTCAACAGCTATACGAGAACTCTTTTTGTAGAGCTTTCATTTAACAATTTGTCAAATTCGTGTCAATCGAAATGGATGCGCACACGTGAATACCTATGTTGCAAGAATATCCATTGAAAAATTGTACAGTTCACACCCTTAGCGGTGTCTACGAGAAAAAAAAAAAAAACAATTTCAATGATTAATGGCTTACGGATGCTCATCTCCTTCCGAGTAGGGGAGATCGTGTCTATTTGATAAATAAATGCCGCTCCTTAAGAAGTCATTTTCGAAATTTAATCCAGAAAGAGGGTGAAAACGATTACCATCTACCGTATTATGGAGAGTAGGGTGCGTTCAGTGTTTTTATTAGCACCCTTTCATTATGGCTTTTCACATCCTCTTTCCTTCATTTTTTTTCAATTGAAGATTTATTTTTTTAAATTCATGGTAAATCCAAGTATCTCTCGAACGGCGGACCATGGAGAGTGCCCCAATGAGCGACCCAGATGATTATTAAATCCTCTTTTTGATTTATTCTCTATTTGCTACTTTTTGTTATTTGAATTTACTATTAATAAATTAAATTAAACCTTTTTTAACTATTTATTGTTTATTTTCCGACACCTCATTTGCATTCATATGGTTAGTTTCAAAAGTATTCGAACTGTATTCGAACTTTTTCTAATAATGTTTCTTTTTCT